TTTTTTTTCTTATTACATACATTGTTCTCCATATGAAGTGTAGAAGTTACATAAGGTATTATCCTATCCACCGCGACAACTGGGTAATTTGTATGATAATGGCTATTACTTGTCTTATTGACTGAATAATATCAGTAAATCGAGAGACACAGCCTTCTCTCTGATACCTTAGAGTTGTAAGGTTATATAGAGGTACATAATGATTTTGAAGACATTCATCTCACCGAAGGCTACGCCACGTCATATGACTCGGACACTTTAGAAATTCTTACCATGTCGTTCCAGCAACTTTTACCCATATCAAGTGAACATATATTTGATGTAATCTGTTGCTAAAAAAGACAAACATTTTATGCACCTTTATTTTCTTTTTTCATCAAGAAACTTAAGATGCAATTCGTAATTAATGAAAATGTAAATCCATATCTGAGACAACGTGAACTATATCTGAAAAATATCGCGCTCCGATAGCCTGGCCAGAGTGTATCACATTGTATTGAGGCAGAGGCACACGCATCGATGCAAACCGAAAAAGATGTTTCAACAAGTTCCGGTAATGACTAGAGATGGATTATCTTGACACGAGACTGTCATTTTACGTAATTGCACGTTATTTCATGGTTAATTATGATTGAATGTATTTTCATTTCTTTTGTTTTTTTTTCTCAGGGGAAAAAAATATTTGTTCCTCTTGAAATAAGCAAAAAGTCATCTTTATTTCGCAATGGCTATTTTCTCATCTAACCTAAAAACTCGAGGGCCCCTCAAGTATCTTCGATTTGCTATGCTCCTGCATTATATATATATATATATATATATATATATATATATATATATATATATATATATATAACGTATAAATGTATATTCATATATAGAATTTTTACACTGTCTGCGTGCGCGTGCGTGTGAACGTGGTGGTGGGAGGTGGGGGGGATAATCAGGTATGATCAATCTCAGCATTATTGAAGCTGAAGGGGAAAATGCAAAGACGTCCTGTCAAATCTTTCATAGTCTACTATTTACGTCATATTTAGTGACTAAACAAATGAAAACAGGCAACAGCAAAACAAATCTTCCTGTGCAAGTTACATTTTTTTTTTTTTTACTTCCTCTCTGTTCATATTCATAACGGCAAAGTACTTGTTACAAATTCTGACTGAGCCACACAAAGAGATCATAGCCGGCCGATGGCCATTTCCTGTATAAAATGATATATTCAGTAGGATTTTGCAAGCACACATAGACACACATATTCAGACAACCATTTCAACACAGCAAGCAGCGACTGAGACTATGACAATAGGGAAGCTGATACATGAAAATGTCACACACACACACACTCACACACACACACACACACACACACACACACACACACACACACACACACACACACACACACACACACACACACACACACACACACATGTCATTCTAACGGGATTACATACAAACATCAAATATCATTTCACAGTCCTTAACCCACCCCAACACCATGCACTGAAGCACAAATCAGGTAAATAAAAAAGATAGATATCAAACTTACAAAGTAAATAAATAAACAGATCAATAAAGACTGAGCATGAAAATAGTAACAATCTAAAAATAGCACCACGAGCGAATGACGCCCCCTCCCCCCCATACACGCTGAATCTCATGGTGAATGGATGATTCGCCGAGGATTAGCGTGAATGTCAGTGTGTCTTTCTGTTCTCTGCTCAAGGACTCGCTTTGTATAACGCTAATGACTTGGTCCTTGATCAGCAAGTGCATATCGATGAATGTAGAAAAAAGGGAAAAGTGAGAATAAGTACCCAACACTTATACGAAATTACACACACACACACACACACACACACACACACACACACACACACACACACACACACACACACACACACACACACACACACGCACGCACGCACGCACGCACACGCACACATTTTTTTGTCTCTCCTTTTATGATCCCCTCCCCAGTCTCTCTCTCTCTCTTTCTCTCTCTCTCTCTCTCTCTCTCTCTCTCTCTCTCTCTCTCTCTCTCTCTCTCTCTCTCTCTCTCTCTCTTTCTCTCTCTCTCTCTCTCTCTCTCTTTCTCTCTCTCTCGTGTGCGTTTATATCGATGCATGTATGTATGTATGTAAATAATCACATTTTCTGCGTGTTTACATTCCTCTCCAATTCCAAACCGACCCAAACAGGAAAACAGGAAACATTATTTTCACTAACAGAGCCGCACAAAGAAATGCTACGCTTATCGTTCCATTGACGCCACTGATGTTATTGAGTCAACTTCCGTTTGTTATGCAATTTTCTGCTTAGAATATTGTTTACGGTTTATGCAAGTGGGGGAGGGGGTCGTGTTTATGTCTGCGTGTGCGTGCTTGTTCGTGTGTAGGTGCAAACTACATCGATGTAATAAACCACAATGGGTCCGGATGCAAAAACTGCACTTTACGGCCTCAGATCGAAAACGAAGAAAGGGCCTTGGCCATGACGA